AGCATTAGCAGATGCGCTTTGCAAAAACAATACTTTGAAGACATTGTATATTCATGGTAACAATATTGATTTTACTACAAAATCTACCGTATTTATCCAACATGTGAACGCGGGGTATTTCAATACCCCATTTTAGTACTCGGGTATACGTATAGGGGGTAATAATCTTGACATTAAAATATACTAATAAAGCGTATATTTCAAAATGTAGACGTAATGTCTATAAGTAAATTATATGAAATTACTTTCTGCCTTTAACAAATTTTCTACAACATTAAGTTTTATTACTTTTTAAATTATGCACATTTTACAATTTATTATTTGTATAGGTTGATGAAATAAAAAAAAAAACAGATTATTCAGTTTATCATTGGTTTATTAACGTCATTTGCATGTAACAATGTTGAGTCTTTGTCAAAACTCTGTTGTTTAAACGTAATTGTTATTAAACATATTATACAATTAAACATTTGAAAGTATTATAATGTGAAAATTTTGCAGAATTAATTTTTTTGTATGCATCTGCGTACTCCAAATTTTAAAACATCAGATATTTTTTTCAACTAATAGTATATCGGGTGCGTAAAAAGTCTTTAAACAGGACTTTTTTAAACGCTGAAATTATAATTTTGATGTTTATAATTAATAATAATTGCAATATTTATGTATAAATGTATTTAACATTAAGTGCGCATAATAATGTTGTCTTTGTCAAAAAACACTGCCAGGATGGCGAGTCTCCACTAGCAAATTTAGTATTATCACCAATTAAGGGGTTTCCTAATTTTTCGCACCGCTTAGACTACGCCATTCTTCGTCTGCCAATAAATTATAAGATCAGGAGTAACATTAAATTTCAAAAATAAATTTTGTTTACAAAATCCCTTCAATGTTCTAACAAAAAATAAATTCATTGCAAAATTTTAGTAATGTACGTGTTCTATTAGACCTTTATGCTATTTCAACTATACTTCCGTTATTTTATCGAATCGAAATTTCTAAATCAATCAAAGCAGGATTTCTCTTAGTCCAATAAGAACTGAAGAGGAAATTATCTTATTTTGATGCACGTATGCAATGTAAACAGTTCATCTCTCTTTATATTGAACCTTTTTATAATGAATACTCTCTATAACGAACATTTATTAGAGTTTGTATATGATTCAGTCTAAAATTTAGGTCCAAAATTGTGGGCAGACCACATATTACATTATAGACGAATTATATATTTCGTTATAACAGCAAGATAACGATAAATATATTATATATTGTTAATTACAATCTAATTTATCATATTGCAATGTTTGCATAATAAATATAGCGCATACCAAAACATAAAGCATGTATATTTAAGGTGCGGAAAAATTTTTTAATTTGCGCTCTGCATTAATTTTAGACACTAATAGGAACATAGTAAATTACTTCAATAAGGAACTTTTAAAAATTTTTGCTATAAGAACTGTCAAGTCATTATAATAAAATTAACTGCATATGTTTTTTTCTTTTCCATTTGTTTGTTATCCAAATCCCTACAAAAAATAAAAGTATTTCATTTGTAGTAATAAAAGAAAACACGATAAAGATCCCCACAACTTCAGATCCACTGTGTACTATATCCGGATGCGAATTACGGAACCTGCATTAATAAAATATAGTTTTTTTTTTAAATATCTAAATTGTCGTTAGAAATGAAAAATTCGCGTGCTCTTTAAAATTCTCCTTTTAATAATATAAACTCTCAACCATGTACTATTCCCGGGTCTATTATAGGTTTTAAAATCGGTGAAATGTAAGAGACTCGGTCTTTTATCCGGCCATTTACAGTACTACACACTCATATTAGGCCACGCAAAGGTTTTGCATTACATTGGATCTGAAAAATTGGGTTGGTCGGTCGAATTTTTTTTTTTTTTGCTGCTTCTTTATCGGATAATTTCAGTGTAATGCAAAATAAAAAATCAACTTTGGGTGACCTTCTAGTGAAGCTTCCAATGGGAAAAAATATTCGTTACAACTTATGTCGAGAGAAAATTAGACATGTTTTAATTATCCGTAAGTCAAAATTCTTCACCCCATAAAAAAAGTCGATCAGTGTTTTTTGTCCATAAATGTTGCATATTCACGGAATTTATAACCTTAAATCATGGAGATTATTCGGCTTGTCTAAATTTTGTCAATCCTGTTGCAGATTCACGGAGTTTTCACAAAAACTTTTTACAAGGTCATTATATCAAAAGTGCACTATAACAAGGGGTAGTTGTATTTGAGAATACTGATTCTTTTCGTTATTTAACCCGTAATTACCATATTGTCGCGAAATAACGGGCATCGGCATTAATTAGCTGCTCGATACGAAAGTATCAGAGCAGCATTTTGTCTCAAATCAATCACGGGTGGGTACTACTTGTCTGATCTTTGATGCATTGTATGATCTATCATATGATTTTGTAGTGGGTTGTATTGTTACATATGAGTTATCGATTGATTCGCTTGATACATTGTCGTGATTGATTAATTGATCTTGTGTCGTAATGACGTATTTTGCGATTAGTAATCGTTAGTAGTTTTAAGGGGAACGGGTTTTTTTCCCAGGAAAGGTAATTTCTGTTTTTTCTGCTAACCCGACTTTGTCTGGTTTTTTTTGTGCTACATCTTTTACATCTTTTACATCTTTTTTATCTCTTTTATCTTTACGTCTCGTATATCCTTTACATCTTTTACCTTATTCTTTTACTTGAGCAACCTTTAGCCGAGTTCTTATACGAAGTAACTGGCTTTTTCAGGCTATACCAGTTTCTTTTTTTCTAAAAAAAAAAATAATAATATATATATATATATTATAAAATAATAAACTTGAGCGTCTAGTAAACGAAATATAATTGTTTGTATCAGCATTCTCTATTATGACAACGTCAAATAAGGATTTAGACCCTGTCATTTCGAGTGACACGTCAGCTCAGCTTGACTCGACTCAAGCAAGTTTGGAATCGAATCTGGAGCATTTATCATTGGAGGCGTTGAGGTTCATTTGTAGAGAAATGGGTGTAACAGATTCAAGCCCAAAAAAGGAGGTCATTGCCAGGCTACTAAAAGAAGGAAGGGCCCGTTTGGGCCCAGAAATGCCTGTTGATGAGTCAGAATCTTCCGGAAAAGAGAAGGATGTTCAACCGCAGCTCTTGAGAAATCGGAATGAGAGTTTCGCAAAGAAGCTTGATGCTTTTCAGATGGCTAGTGATAGGTCTCAGCAACTAAAAACAGGAATTGAAAATCCTCTTGACCCCTTGAAAGGCAGGCTATGTCTGGTTCAAATTTCGTACAAGTGCCAAGTTGGAGCGCTAAGTTGGGTGCTTTAACTCTGGAGGATGTGGAGCATAAAAATATGTGGAAGAAACGTAAGTTGTCGAAACAGCGTAATCAGTGGGAATATAATGAGTGGTGCAAAGTAGGGAGTTTTCTAGACAAGGCCTTGGTATCTGGTGATATAGGCTATGTTCGTTTAGCGAGGCAAGTGGCGATAGAAAAGGCTTATGTTGTGAGAGTGGCTGATGAAGATAGTTGGGAGGTGGCTTCGAAAATGGCAGCGGCTGACGTTTCGGATCCAATGTCTTAGCTTTTGGAAAATAAGCGTGAGAGAGCCAGACTAGCGGCACAGTGTTTTTCGAAATCTAAAAAGCCAAGAGCATCATATCATCCTCATTCAGAGCAGCCCCAGCGCCAGTCCCCTATCTTTCAGGTAGGCACTGTACCCACATCGCAAATTGCACAGTTCCAGCCCTACGTTCTTTAGCCGAGTTTTCATAAACAAGTTTTGAGCCAGCCAATGAGTTTGCAAAATCAGTTCGGAGGTTCCTTGACGGTTCCTCCTCAAACTGCTCAGATGAACCCACAGTTCTTATATGGTGGGAAGCAGCCTTTTAACCTGAATACTGGTGTGTCATCTCCGGTTCAGCAACAGCCATACTCCTCATCGCCCTACATTTTGAAAAGGGTGACAAAAACAAGGGATTCAAGGGAAGAGAGGTAGTTTGCTACTTGTGTGAAGGAAAAAGACATTTTGCCAATGAGTGTAGCTCTAGAAAGCACTTCGGGTTGCCCTTTCGTGGTGATGGAGCCCAGCCAGAAGGTAGTTGACTATACTCGGGGGATATCGGAAAACGTGGAGACAATTTCGGGCAGCATTGTAACGGGAAAAATTCACACACAGAGGGCAGTGAGATATTGGGAGGAGATAATAAAGCCATCTCAGTTAGTATTAAGGTGGTTAAAGGAAGGAATTCCCTTGTTTCCAAGGAACCTAATGCAATTAATAACCAGCCTGGACCCAAGGCCCTATCACTTTACAGAGGAGAAGGGGTGTTGGTTAGAAGAGGAGTTGAAGAGGCTAGAGTTAATGGGGGCTATAGTAAAAGTTGGCGTGAGCAGTATTTGCCCATCAGAGATACTGGAGGTGAGCCTAGTATTTTTAGTTCCAAAACAGGGACCCCGGAGGTTCCGACTTGTAATCGATCTGCGCAGATTAAATCGAACCTTACCTCAGAAGTCTTTCTGTTTCGAAGGACTGGGTGGCCTACTGCGAACAATTGGAAGAGGTTGGTGGTCAATCTCATTTGACCTAAAGGACGGTTACTACCATGTACTGATGAGTTCCGAGGCACAAAGGTTGTTGGGCTTCGCAGTAGTGGAAATATGGTACCACTACAAAGTATTGCTATTTGGTCTAAGCCAGGCTCCCTGGGTTTTCTCAAAGCTATTGAGGGCTCTGATCGGCAAATAGCGTGCTCAGGGAATCTATTGTGGGAACCACCTGGACGACGTGTGGATTGCCCACCCAGTAAAGGAGATATTGTTAGAAATAAGGGAGAAGGTTGTAAAAGTAGATCTAATAGAGTGTAGATGGGTTTGAGCCAATGAGAAAGGGTATTGGGACCCAACTCAGACTCTAAAATTTTGCGGAATGGTGGTGGATATGTTAAACGGGATGGTGGTAGCACCAGAGTAAAAAATAGCATCGACGATACTAAAGCTGGAAACTGTATTAGGAACACTAGTGGTAACAGCAAGGGACCTGGCCTCCGTAGCAGGAAAGATTGTAAGTTTGGGAAGAGCGTTTCTTCCAAGCCAGGTGAAGTGTATGGAATTTTACAAGCTGATAGACTCAAAAAATCGGCTTATTGGGCAGTAGGACAACAAGATTCATCTATCAACACAGGCAGTCGAGGATATTCAATGGCTAATAAGGAATCTAAAGAAGTGGAATGGCCGATCGGCCTGGAAACCCTCCCGAGTAAGGTCAGTATATGTCAATGCGTTGACAAAGGGTTGGTGCAGGATTTTTCAGGAGTACAAAGCTTCGAGAAGTTGGGCCCAACCCCATGCCTCAAGAGTTATAGCCCAATTGGAGGCTTTGGCCGTATTGCGAACACTGCAGTCTTTCAGGGAGTTGTTGAAGGGCGTCTGGGTTACTCTGTTTATTAACAACAAGGTAGCTCTAAGGACGGTAGTAAGTGGAGGCCCAACGGACTGGCAGAGAGATATTGCGAGGCAGATTTGGGAGCTATGTGTGGAGGCCGATATTGGAATTTTCAGTACGAGGTGGGTTCCAAGCAAGTTGAACCCAGCGGATTCGTTGACCAGAGTTCTAGACCAGGGAGATTGGGTGTTAAGTTCGGAGGTGGTAGCCCAGTTGGAGCTTGTTTGGGGAAAATTCGAGGTGGACCGGTTCGCGAGTCACCTAAATTCAAAGGCGCGAAGGTTCAACAGTCTATACTTTTGTCCAGGGACAGAAGCAGTAGATTGCTTCACCCAAGATTGGGCCGGAGTAAGAAATTATGTTTGTCCTCCGTTTTGCTTGATCCACAGGGCTCTATATCATGCCAAGGAATGCGAGGCTTGGATAGTTATTATAGTCCTGGTATGGGTCTCAGCCCCGTGGTGGCCTTTAATAGTAAATTCCTCAAGAAGAGAGATCGATCTACCACCAGAGAGCCAGGTTGTTTACCCAGGACCATCAGGAAATTTGGAGCCTTGCAAAAACGAACAATGGACGTTAAGGGCAGTGCTGCTGGACTGGTCGAAGGACTGTTGAGTAGGGCGAAACACCTAATGGATAAATCTATTAGTGAGGAGTACAGTAAGCGCCTGGCAAAAGCGCAAAGTATATTTAACGGTTTTGCGTGTTGGGCAGGACTGACTCCGTACCTAGCTTCAGTCGAACTGTTGGCAGCCTTCCTGGCTTGGTTGGAACTGTCTGGGAGAGCAGCGGAGATATCAATCTGTTTAGCAGCAATAGCCAGAGAGCACAAAGTAAGGGCTTGGTGGATCCAACAAAAAGTAGTCCGGTCCGAATGATCGTTGAGGGTATTAGGAGAACCGCCGCACAAGGAAAGGTCGAAGCTAGGTGGCCTAGGGATCCCCTACCAGTTTCAGTAATTAGGAAGTATATTGAATGCCCGCCCCTTGGGATTAATATAATGCTTTGGGCTCGTGATCTAGCATTGGTGGCCCTGGGATTAAGAGTTATGCGTAGGCTGGGTGAGCTGTGCAACTTAAAAAGATCTGATATAGTAGAAAAGGATGGGAGGTTATGGATCAGAGTTACAAGGTCCAAAACGGACCAGTTGGGAAAAGGAAAGTTTATTCCAATAAAGAGATCAACAAGTAGCGTGTGCCTGGTAAAGTTGCTAGAACGTTACCTGAGACTGAGACCAGGTACATCTTCGGAGGAGCCTTTATTTTTGTCCAAGGATGGTGGAAAGTTGTCTGTTGCGGCAGTATCTGCAATAGTCAAACGCTTCGCAGAAAATGCTGGACTGCATGGAAGGTATACAGCACATAGTTTGAGGATTAGGGGTGCTACGGCCGCCTTGAAAGGTGGAATGATATTGGAGCAAATCCAGTCAATTGGTGGTTGGTCATCTGGAGCAGTACAGCTATACATGAGGGCCATCGGTACCACCAAATTGGGAGCGTCAAGGTTGATGGGTTTTGACTAGTAGAGAGTAGTATGAATTGTAAGGTTACTAATAACTAACCTTTGTAGCGATGCTCTGCAAGACCCATAGTTGTTCTCTATTTGTATTTTTCTTTTGTAACACCCCTTGATGAGGGACAAAATTAGCTGCCCAATACGAAAGTATCGGAGCAGCATTTTGTCTCGAATCGATCACGGGTGGGTACTACTTGTCTGATCTTTGATGCATTGTATGATCTATCGTATGATTTTGTAGTGGGTTGTATTGTTACGTATGAGTTATCGATTGATTCGCTTGATACATTGTTGTGATTGATTAATTGATCTTGTGTCGTAATGACGTATTTTGCGATTAGTAATCATTAGTAGTTTTAAGGAGAACAGGTTTTTTTTCCAGGAAAGATAATTTCTGTTTTTTCTGCTAACCTGACTTTGTCTGGTTTTTTCGTCCCTCCTGCCCAACCCTAGTGTGTGACCATCAGGGCGTAGCTTGTCGAAATAACAACCACTGTTTAGCAGCTTTGGGTAAATTTGGGCCTGTCAGACGACGATCAAATAGGAATTTTTGGTAGGAAGTGGCCTGTCAGGACGACAGTCATGTTTGTATTGTGAATATGTGATCTGTTGAGACGACAGTCGTCTCATTTTTGAGTTTAGTAATAGTGACCTGTCGGGACGACAATCACGAAAAATTCTTTTGGTTGCGACGGGGTTTTTTCCAGGGAAGTCCTGGTTTTTTTTTGCCCTGCCCGCCAAAATGGCTGTTGAATTAGTACATGCAGTCTCTTTAGTTTAGGCTCTTTTTCGATACTCTCGAGTTCTGCACTGTTATGTGTGACCATCAGGGCGTAGCTTGTTGAAATAACAACCACTGTTTAGCAGCCTTGGGTAAATTTGGGCCTGTCAGACGACAATCAAGTAGGAATTTTTTGGTAGGAAGTGGCCTGTCGGGACGACAGTCACGTTTGGATTGTAAATGTGTGACCTGTCGAGACAACAGTCGTCTCATTTTTGAGTAGTAATAGTGACCTGTCGGGACGACAGTCACAAAAAAATTGTTGGTTGCGACGGGGTTTTTTCTAGGGAAGCCCTGGTTTTTTTTGCCCTGCCTGCCAAAATGGCCGTCAAATTAGTACATGCAGTTTCCATAGTTTAGGCTCTCTTTCGATACTCTCGAGTTCTGCACTGTTAGTATGTATACCCTTGTAGCACGATAGCAGCAGGGACAGATAACCCATAGTTGTTCTCCATTTGTATTTTTCTTTTGTAACACCCCTCGATGAGGGACAAATTTTGAACAATTGCTCGAATTAATCTTAATTTAGGCTGAAATTCGTAATTTCACCCCTGCGCGTTATTTCGCGACAATACGGTATATTATTAGAACTCTAAGATCTCTTATAGTATCACCATCGAATGGAGTGCGTGTTACCTATACTTGGGTGTCTAAAATATGGATAATTTACGGCAGACAGCATTTTATGTTCATAGGACGACTTTCATATGATTGGTTGTTTAAGTAAATTTAATTATATATTATTTATACAAGTTACAGTACTTTTTCAAAAAAATAAAACTACAAAGTATAAATGAAAAGGAAGTACATAGGAGGTATTATTAGTGTTGTAGGACTCCACTATTGAAATGATCAAAATTCCTTTTTTGTTTTAGTGAAGTTAGTATTATAATAACTTCTTAAAATAGATCGAACAAGATTATTACTATGCTAACTTCTCTAAAACAAAAAGGGATTTTGATCATTTTCAATAATGGAGTGCTACAACACTAATAATACCTCCTATGTACTTCTTTTTTTTTATTCTTTGTAGTTTTATTTTTTTTTTTGAAAAGTACTTTAAACTATATAAATATTGTAAAATTAAATTGACTTAAACAACCAATCATATGAAAGTCGTCCTATGAATTTTAGGTAGCGTACCCACAAAAAATTGTTCTTCCCCAGTAATTTTGACCAATCAAAATTTAAGATCAAGTGTCAAAACAAACGTGTTTTGTTTTCTAAGTAGAAAAGTTACGTGTAAAATGAAAACCAA